CACCCTGTTCCACGAAAGAGCATGATGCCCGTCAGCAGTCTGCCCTCAGTATTTCCACTGTTCCTTTTGGCTCTTCTTGCGTGTATATGAAATAAATGTGTTCCCACAGCCCTTYAAACCGAGCCCATGGAGGTGCAGTATATCCCCAAGCCCTCACTTTTCCCAGGTTCCAAAGTCAGGTTCACACTCAGGTCTGATGAGAAGTKCTGGRYAATTCTCTCCYTCCTCCAGCTGTGTTGAGCAGGTTCAGAGGCACAATGGCCATTCAGAAGCTCAGGGACCTGAGTAACTCATGAAYCCCATGGTTTCCCTTTATGAACTGGCATTCGTGGAATTTATTTCCTTGCAATTCTGGCACAGRTACAAGATTGGGCAGTGGATGTTTGTTTAACATCTGCTGAGGAGACAGAAACACCGTGTTGTGAGTGCCAAACTGTGACCAGTGCTGGCTAAAGGTTAAAGGTGTGTGCAGAGAGAGTCCAGCACACTCATGGCTGGGCAGGGCACAAATCCCTCTGCATCTTAAAGAGAGCTAAAGTGAAGTTCTCTATTTGGGCAAGGCCATACGGTCACTTAGCCAGTTATTGCGATGTTAAAAGCTCAGCCTTTTCTGAAGCCTCTCCACAGTCACCTAATCAATATTAAATATTAAGCAGCTGCATTTTTTGATCTTTTCTGTCTATCTTTTCCCAGTCATCAGGGCAGTTTCCCTGGTTCTGTGTGTAGCCCAGGATCCTCTGGCATGGAAGTGTTTCCAGCCCCTTGCTGTGCCCAGCTCTCAGCACCTTTCTTGGATGCTGGCCCCATCCCTTGCTCCATGCAAACCCATTTCTTTCCCTCTAGATCCCCTTCTGCCTGACCCAGTCCTACCTTTGCTCAGATTGGTTCCGAGTTTTTATAATGTACTTGATGTGTTTCTTAACAAGCGCCTGTGCTTCTTTCTCTGCATCCCTCATGCCTGGAGGGTTTCTGTGGATTTTCAAAGGGTTCTCATGACCCTCCTCCACATTTCCCTTGTCCCCCGTTCCATTGCTCCCTGGTTTTCTGTGGCTCTCTATTGTCTTTCTAAGACCAGAATGGTCCCCCAGTTCCACCCTCTGCCATGTGCAGGGACATCTTCCACTATCCCAGGTTGCTCCAAACATCGTCCAGCCTGGCCTTGGACACTTCCAGGGATGGGGCAGCCACAGCTTCTCCAGGAGCTGCTGTCCTGTCTGGTGTTCCAGCACAGAAAGAGCTGAGCCTGGTGATTTTCCTGTTCTGTTTCCTGCTATAACTCCTCTAGAAGGATGTGACAGGCACGAGACTGTGGCAACATGCAGATCTTGTTCCCTGGAATGTTTTCTTTCATCTGTAATCACTTCATCAAAAGCCATAAATCAGTGAGGGGAGGCTCAAATGCACAAGCACAGTTGCAATTTGTGCCTTCCTGCCCAGTGTTTTGCTTGGCACATGGAACTCCAAAGCTTTTCCTGAAAAACYGATGATGACACTGTGGGAGGACTCAGTGAAACCAGATAGTGAGGCCACTGGCATTCCTGGTCCTGCTTCTATCATCCCTGCTTTTTGTTTACTGGAAAAGATTCAGGGAGCAAAACAGTAGATTTATTTTTGTATTTACTCAGGATTTTGCCATTCCAGGCTTGTTTTCCAATCCTGGGTGCTGTTAACTGTTGGCTCAGACACACCCTGAAGTTTTGGGAGGGTTGGGGTGCCAATGCTGTGCCCTCCCAAACCCCAGAAGCACATTGGGAATTGTCACCTTCTCCAGGGGGGATCATCACTCTCACGACATCTGTCATTGTCACCASCCTGTCCAAACCCTCCCAGGAACTGCAGAGACCTCGTGGATCTCATGAGGAACAAATCCATCTGTCAGGGTGTGAGGTGATCTCCTGAGCAGCTGAAGGATTGACACYTTCACCAGGAGGGCATTGCAGGAGGAAATGGCAGCCCAGAGGGACATGGACASGAGGCAGAAACAGGAGCTAAGGAAGCTTTTCCCAAGTGAAAYCTGGCTTGGAGAAGGCCTTTGAGTGCGTTTGTCACAGTGTCTCAGAGAGGAATCTTGCTTTGTTTCCTTTAGGAGAGGATTCCAGGACTCTCTGTCCTGATCTTGGTGCAAAAATGAATGAAATTACTCAAAATCCTAAAACATGAACAGGGCTGACAGGACCTGATGAAGTGGCTGCACATCTAGTTGGAGCTGTGTGGATCTTAGGGGCAGAAGGTACCAAGCTTCCTAAAAAAACATGGAATTTTCTGACCAGGAGAGCAAGGGTGGTGTCTGAAGGGCTGTAAGAGTGATCTCATGCTGTGATGGGGATGATCGGCCTCTCCCTGGATCAAGGGGACATCGCTGCARTTCCGGGGTCCTCTCTGGCACCTCCTCCTGTATTTTGTGACAGAGAAAGAGCAAAAACCCACTTTGCCCATGAATATTCCATGTGGAAAAGCATTTGACCCAGAGCATGGCACTGTCAGCTCCCCTCAGCCCAGGAAACAGCCACTTGTGTCACTCTGTGTCCTCCCAAACACCCTCTGGGGCATTCGTGTCCCACTCCCACCCTGCTCCCCAGGTGACCCTTCTGCCTCGCACAGAGTGTTTTTATCTCTGTTTGCCAATAAAAATCCCTCCCAGTTTTACTGTTATCCATCTGACACACGGATTTTTCCAACACGTATTTCCTCTCCCCCTGGTTGGGGGGCAGAGGGAAGGGAGGATCTCAGATCACCTCATGCCAGAGGAATTTKCACGTGCTTTTCCATCTCAGGTGAGAGAGCTTCCAGCACAGTGTCGGGGTGTTCCCTGGGCTGAGGAGACACCCCAGAATGGCAGAGGGTCTGTTTGCCAGTGCCTTCGCCTCCGGGCACCAGTTGTGCTTGGGAATTACTCAGCATTAGGATCACTGGGAAGGCAGGATTTGAAATTCATTCATTTGTACCCCAGATCTGAGTGACTGTGGGACAGTCCGTGCCCAAAAATCCTGCCCAGGGGACCTGCTCTGCAGTGCCAGGTGAGGGGATTGCAGGTGTTTGGAGCACAGAGAACAGGACTGTGGGGGTTGTTTGGGAGACCAGAATAAAGGGRAAACCCGCGCACGTGCTTGCAGGGMGACAYTGCCYGGTTTGTGCGACATGAGTTTAACACATGCTCAGCTGAGACACTCGCTCGGGGCTCTCAGCACCTACAGGTGGGCGCTCCGCGGATGGGCAGCGGGCCGTTCCGAGCCCCAAGGCCCGGCTGTGCCCGGCCTGCCCGGACCCGTTCAGCCGCCATTCCCGCCACGCCGCCACCCGCCAGAGGGCGACTCCCGCTTCCCGGCGGGCTCGGCGCGGTGCGCGCCGGGAGCTGCGGGCGCGGTGCACACCGGGAGCTGTAGGCACGGCGGAGCACGAGGCGCTGTAGGTGCTAAGGCACTGGCGCGGTGCACGCCGGGAGCTGTAGGCGCGTCGGGCGCGTTTGGCGCGAAGCGGGCCGGAAGCTGTGGGCGTGGCTGCCGCTTGAAAAGGCTTCCCGCCCATCTCCCGGGGTGGAGTTGCGTGTCGCAGTTTCCGTTGCGTTAGTTGTTGGCGGGATGGCGGCGAGGCAGGTCGCGCGGCTCGAGCGGGAGCGGGGCGCCAAGCCCGACTGGGCCGGGATGGCCGTGCTCCCCGAGAAAATAGTCAACAGTTGGGTCCTACAGTTCTACTTCCACCGGGCGATAGAGGCGTATCGCTCCGGGCGCAACCGCGACTTTCGCCAGTTCCGTGACATCATGCAGGGTAAGCGGGGCCGGCCCAGGCTGGGGGCGTGGGGCGTGCGGACCCCCCTGCACCGCCCTCACTGGCTTTGTGTCCCGCAGCGCTGCTCGTGCGGCCCCTGGACAGGGCGCCGGAGATGGCGCAGATGCTCCGGATAATGCAGCTGCTGTCGCGGGTCGAGGAGGGCGAGAATCTCGGTAGGTGCCCGGTTTTTCCTGCGAGCTCTGGGGGTCCCCGGGGTTTGCCTGCAGCCCCCCCCCCACCGTCCTGTGGTCCCCGCGGCTCCCGGAGCTTTGTCCCTGCAGRGAAGGGAATGGGCTGAGGCTGTCGGGCTCGGGGGGTGTCCCCGCGGGTGAGGGGTGGCTGTTCCCATCTGTCTCACTGTCTCTGAGGGGCCGAGAGCAGCATCCGCGGTGCACTGGGGCTGGYCTGCTGGACAAACACACCAGCCTGGTGACTCCTCCTTAGCCTCGGAACTTCCAGAAAGCTCCCCTGGGTCAGTACTGGGCACCTGGAGTGGTGCTTCTAGAACTTTCCATGGCTGTTGGGGGACAGCAATCGCAGTTCAGGCACGTGGCAGTGSCTCAGCCTGAGCGGCTGTGTGATTTGTGATGAGCCCGTGCAGGTGGATGGTGCCACCTGCACGGATGAGCGGTGCCAGCTCTATGGGTACATAACCAGCTCTCTGCAGGGAAGCGTCGTGATCCTCCCCCAATCGTATGGATGCCAATTCTTATAGATTGCACCTTCGACAAGGAGTCAGAGCTGACCCCGCTTGAGTCGGCAATGCTTGTTCTGGACTTCATCCACGAGGARTTCTCTGTGGAGGACAAGACTATGGAGGCGGTGCAGAAGATGGTGAAAGAAGCAGTAAGAGCTTTTTCTCTCTCAATAAATACTTTGTTTTGGAAGCTTTTGTTTTGGAAATTTCTTCCGTGGATGGTGACCTTACTTGTGGGAATCTCTCGTTATCTGCAAACACATACYCGCAGTGATGTGGGAGTAATTCTGTGGAGGTTGGCACTGAGCTGTTGTTTTTTTGTGTTCTGTTTCAAACTGTCCTTGTTTTTCTCTGCAGGCTGTTGTTGTTTGCATCAAGAACAAGGARTTTGATAAAGCTTCAGATATTGTCAAGAAGTACATGGGAAAGGAGTCCAGAACCCAAGTGAGTCCATGCTGGAATGAAGGGGGGGCTGATGTGAGGAGGCTAAAATGGAAACAGTCCTTCTGGAGTGCTGGCCCCTTGCTGTTGCATATTTGGATCATCACCTTGGAGCCCCCTCTATCACTCCCCTTTCCTCACACACCTTCCAGGCAGCATGGATCCCTTCGAGGGGTAAATCACTATTTATCCCTTGATGAGCCTCAGCCTCACCTTTACAGCTGGTCCTGGGAGCAGCAGGAGTTCCTATTCCTGTTTTTGCAGGCAGTGGGGTGTTTGGGCACTGGAGGCAAAGAGAATTCCTGAAATGAGGTGGTTCTGCTACTCCTTGGTTGCTCTCCTGTTCCCYATGCCTTTTCCCAGCTTTATCTCAGTGTGAATTGATTGTGCCTGGAGAATGGCAGACAGGAATGGCCCAGTCCTTGTCTGCATCCTTCTTGTGGTTGTCACTGATTCCCAGTGCTCTTCCCTGATCCTATGAATCCCTCCTGTAGAAAAAGAAGAACGAGTGGTTGGCTGTCATCCGGGAGAAGAACCCCTCTCATCCAAAGGTCCAAAACTTCTCCTATGAGGACTTCCAGCAGAGCATCTTTGCATTCCTGGAGAACTACGTGGACGAGTTGCAGCCAGCGCTGCTGATGGTGCGTGTCCACCCTGCTGCYCGGGGGATTGGGTGCACAATTAACTCTAAATTCAGTCCACTCCTAAGGGGTTTTTATGGTCAAACATGTTTTTCAACCCATGAAATGCCTTTGGGAGGGGATAAAATGGAATGGGAGCATGAGGGATCATTTATGTAATGRTGCTGTGCTTTTTCTCTCTCTCCAAGTTATTGAAAAAGACTTCGAATTCGGAACACGCCGACAAAACAAAATCRTCCCTGGAGACTCCTGAGTGTCCAGATGGGCTGAATGGTCAGGCAGCAGCTCCAGAGGCCTCTGGAAAGGAGGAGGAAGGCCCAGACAGAGCTCCAGAGCCTGCAGGAGCCACTGAAGACCTCGAAGGAGCTGCCAACCCTGCAGAAATGGCCGCTGGTCCAAAGGCAGCTCCAGAGATCATGGAAGAAGCTGATGAACCTGCAGYAGCTCTGGAACCTATGGAAGTAGTCATCGAGCCACCAGCAACTCCTGAACACGTAGCAGCCGTGTCTGATAGCCTGAAGGACACTTCAGAGCCTATGGAAATCACCAAAGAACCWGAAGTAGCGACCCCAGAGCTCCCAGGAGTGTCCAGAGAACCAGAAGTAGCGATCCCAGAATGCCCAGGAGTATCCAGAGAACCAGAAGTAGYRATCCCAGAACTCCCAGGAGTATSCAGRGAACCAGAAGTAGCGACCCCAGAMCTCCCAGGAGTATGCAGGGAACCAGARGCAGCGACCCCAGAACTCCCAGGAGTATSYRGRGAACCAGARGCAGYGACCCCAGAACTYCCAGGAGTATCCAGGGAACCARAGGCAGCRACCCCAGAGCTCCCAGGAGTATCCAGGGAACCAAAGGCAGCGACCCCAGAGCTCCCAGGCGTGTCCGGGGAATCACCAAGGTGGGCAGAGGAGTCTCTAGACAGTGGAATGCAGTGTGGCCTCAAGTTCTCTTCCAAGGGGTAATCCCCTRTGTCCAGGCAGCTCCTAATTCCCCAAATGCTTGCCCAGGCCAGCACAAAGGTGTTGGTGCAGGACTCTGGATCCTGAGAAAGGTGTTAAAGTGGTTTGGCTCAGTTGCTGACATGGGGAGTGCTGTTGTGGCCTGGGAGGGGGTGGTGGCTGTTTTTGTGGAGCACATTGGGAATAGCAGTGCAGCATGAAGAAGTGTTCTCCATACCTGCTTCCTGGGGCACTGTGCCATTTGGGAGGGAGTACTGAGGACTGGGAGTGTGCTCTTCATAGATTGGCACTGCAGGGCCAGGAGGTGGGGGTGCCAGTGGAGGGAAAGGCTGCATTTCGGGGCAGCAGAGCTCCCTTGGCAGTTTCTCTACAGCCCCCTCGGTTGTGTTTATTTTATAGGCAGTTCCCTGGAGCTATAACCTCGTGTGGGATTTCTGTTCTGAGAGAAGCTTTCAAGATCCTGTCGAAGTCCRGGGACGCGGATGCACAGTTCACCAAGCTGGATGAAACCAACTTGCCTTCCCTCAAGCAACTGTCTCCTTCTGTATCCCACAGAACCAAGAGACGCAGAACAGAGGAGAATCACGATTCTGAGACCTCAGAGCCTCCTGAAATAGCCCAAAACACCAAAAACTCGTTCCTCATAAGCAATCTGGTCCAGGAGTTGAGTGGCGCAACCCGCAACTCGAGTGAGAGCCCTGACTCTTCCCAGGAGCACGTGGTCTCGTCAGCTCAGAAATTGCCTGAGGCGTCCTTGCCTGGCCCGAGTGACAAGTATGGAGCCCCTGTCGCATGTTTTGCCTGCTCTGCCCCCAGTCTTGTCTTGCTGATGTCAGTAGCCTGAGCWCAAACCCTTACCCTGTGTCCCAAGATGAGAGTGTTGACCTTGCCTGTCAGTCCACGCAGAACTGGGCACAGCAAACCCTCTCTTAGCCATRTATTTGGCTTTAAAATTAATTATGKGTTAAGGGAGAGGAGAAAATGATCCAGGCCTTGCTGGTGGTCCTGGCAGGCAATTGCAGTACAGGTAACATGTGCTTTCCTCAGCTTTGCATCACTGGCCAGTCTGTAGGAGCATCCTGTGCAACAGGTTAAACTCTGCTTTACCCCTCTTGAGAAACAGTGTCCAGCAGCTGGCTCTGCTTGCTTRGTGGCTTTGCACCTCCCCAAAAAATGCTTCTGAGCCAGTAGCCAAAGTAAACCTCWTCTGCTTTCAGGAAGCCCTCACCTTTCCGAGGAAAGTGGTGCAGCAARTTTGTCGTGGAAGAGAAAGAAACTTGGAGCGATGAGGACGAGCTTTTCGCCGATGCAGGTAGGAAAAATTCCCTGGCAGGGATTGCACGTGCTAATCCTGCCATGGGGTCACTCACAGGGGTCTTGCTGCTGCCTGGGTGACTGAGTTTTAAAACCACAAACCCCATGGAAAGGCTGGGATAAAGGAATTGGGGTGTATTGTTTGTCCCACGGTGCTCTGGCTGCATAGCTCAGCAGTTGAGCCCAAGGCAGCCTCTCAAAGATGTCTGTACCTCCCAAATTCTGGGAAATGTAACCCTCTCCCTTGTTTTCCAGAATTACTCGTGAGAAATAACCGAGGCACCAAGAAACAGGTATGTAGAGTCTTAGGTGCTCCCACAGGGCCTGCAGKGGGGCAATGTCTATATTTTCTCTGGTAAAACAGGCTGGAGCTGTGCCTGTCCTGCCTGCAGAGCACTGGGAATATTCCTCAGCTCCTCTGGCCTTGGTAGCTCAGGGCCAGGCGTGCCATCCTTCCTGCATCTGGGAAAAAAAAAAAGCATCTGTTTCCTTGCTCTTTGCAGAAATGGACCTCACAGGAGAGCGAGTGGATCAAGGAAGGAGTGAGGAAATATGGAGAAGGGAGGTGGAAAGCCATTTGCCTCAAGTACCCCTTCAGGAACCGCACGCCAGTGATGATCAAGGATCGCTGGAGGACCATGAAGAAACTGGGAATGCTCTAAAGTTGGTAACCACAGGACCTTCCGTGCAAGAGTTTCCTTGTTCTGTTTTTTGGAAGTTGGACTATAATGCCATCGGTGCCAGTGTGGGAAGCCTCTCTGACACCAAAACCTTGATTGATGGGAATCTGGGAGCTTTGTGCTCCAACTGCAGCTGCAAACATCAGTCTGCTGCAGGTGGAAGAGGCTGTGCTGCCTTTCAAATGCACTTTGAACCACCTGGATTGAGGCTTCCCTTGATCCACCTGAGCACTGCAGCCTCTGGCATGAATCCCAGCTGTTTGCTTTGCTCAGGTGATCAACAGGATCATCTCCTGGGTGACTGTTTTTTTGTATTTTAATTATCTGAGCACTGAATCACTTATTTCATCTGTTTGCAATTGCCTCTCTTCCACAAGGGAGCAACACCAGAGCCTTTGTGGGGAAGAGCTCCAGCAAAAACATCTACTGTTTTTTTTCCCCCATTTATTTTTACTTTAGAAACAGCTAAGCAGTGAGGGGAAAATTCATCACTTCCAGCTCTGAGGCTTTACAGATTGAAGTTGTGTTTCAGTATTTGGAAATGTTTGTTGTTTATGTGTTAAATGTTCTGGTTCTGACTGACTGTTACATTTTCCTTGCACTTATCCTGGTCCTGTCTGTTCTATGTGTGATCCTTGGGAGCGTGTGAGCTCCGAGGGTGCCACGTGTCCCTGCCTTCAGGTGCCAAAGCCGGGACAGTTGTTTGTTAAATAAAGTTATTTTCTTGTTTAAAAGCAAAGAGTTGTAGAAGTGTGAATTTCTACCTCGTGGATGGAAATGCAGCAGTGGGGGTCTCCCTTGTAAGGGGGAAAGCTGTGAAATGGAGGTGTAAGTAAATGGGAAAGCTGTGAAATGGAGGTGTAAGTAAATGGGAAAGCTGTGAAATGGAGGTGTAAGTAAGTGGGAAAGCTGTGAAATGGAGGTGTAAGTGGGAAAGCTGTGAAATGGAGGTGTAAAGGGGAAAGCTGTGACATGGAGGTGCAAGTACGTGGGAAAGCTGTGAAATGGAGGTGCAAGTGGGAAATGGGGGTTTCTGGATTATATTCCTTTGAAAGAGATCAGGGGAGCTACAGGGGCACTTTCTAATCTTAGTTTCTAAGTTTCTCTTGGTTCTGATAAAAGCAGGGCTGGGAGAAATCTTGTCTGGGAACAGCTGCTTCCCCTGTGTCCTTCAGCTGCAGGTGCTGCACTCGGTGTCCCCTGGCTGTGGCCACGCATCTCCTTCCCCTTCTGGAAATCTTTCCCGGGATTGCAGGAGCACCAGCTCACACATGTGGGCCACTGCTGGCCCGGGAGAGGTGCTGCCAGCTGGGGCTGCCCCGCTGGAAGGAGCTGTGCCCCATTTCTCCCTGCCAGGCTCGTGCCGTGGCAGCTCCAGCTCTGCCCCAGGATCACCTTGAGCAGCAGCTCCAGCCCAGCCCTGGCCCTGCAGAGCAGTTAATGATTACCCTCTGCACCTCATCCCGCTCTGCCCTGCCCGGGGAGCGAGGGCTGGAGCCCGGGGAGCAGGAGGATGCTGCTGCTGCTGTTCCTGGCACTGCTGGGCCCTGCTGGCTGTCCCAGGACAGAACCCCTGAGCGGTTCCAGCTCAGAGCCCCTGTTCCGGGGCGCCGATCGCTACGACTTCGCCGTGGTCATCCCCGCCGGCAGCGTCGAGTGYTTCTGGCAGTTCTCACACCAGGGAGGCAACTTCTTCTTCAGCTACGAGGTGAGTGCTGGGGATGTGTCCTGGGAAGCTGCTGAGASAGCCAGGGAATGGCTGTGCTGGATCCATCTTGTGCTGGAAGGCATCTCAGGGCTTGTGCCTTTTTTCAGGAAGTATTATAGAATTGTTTAGTTTGGAGGGATGTTAGAGCTCATTTTCTTCTACCCCCTGCCATGGGTAGGGACACCTTCCACTGTCCCAGGCTGCTCCCAGCCCTGTCCAGCCTGGCCTTGGGCACTTCCAGGGATCCAGGGGCACCCACAGCTCCTCCGGGCACCCTGTGCCAGGGCCTCCCCACCTTCACAGGGAGAAATTTCTTCCTAATAAAACCAACCTAACCTCTATCCCTCATCAATCCCATGCGGTTTTTATAACTGCCTTTTTTTTAACCCATGAAGTGGTGCAGGGAGTTTGGGCACTGTTGGGAGCTCTGCCCTTCACTGCCCGGCCAGAGGCGGCGGCACCACAGAAGGTCCTGGCACCGCGTGTCCCAGAGCTCTGTCCCCTTCCCACAGGGCAACTCCAGCCCTTTCATCTCCTGTTTACACTGGGCTGGCTGAAGGAGAGCCAGGGCATGGCTGTGCCTGGCAGTGGCAGCTGCCCCCTGGTTCTGTGCTTGGCAGAGCAGCCCCACAGCAGCACATCAGGGATTGGCACAGCTCTGTTCCCCACACACCAGTTACCCACAAACTCCCCTTGGCTGTTCCCTGCCTCCAGGTCCAGCGGGCGACGGGGATTGGCAACAGCAGGAACATCCTGGTCACAGCGAGCGATCCCAAGGGCTTCCAGCTCGGAGTGTCCCAGGACGTGCGAGGACAGATTGACTTCCTCACCAAGGACACAGGTCCCCCACAGCTCCAAGCCTGCCTGGCCAGGGCTCCCCAGGGTGCAGAGTGCTCCTGGGTGGGCACGATGAAGCTGAACCCTGGGGATGTGTCTGCCTGGGGCCCTTCTGCCAGGAACCAACAGCCCCCCTTTCCCTCTGCAGGTTTCTACCAGCTGTGCCTGGACAACCAGCAAAACCACTTYGGCCTCATGCAGGTGTATCTCAATTTTGGGGTGTATTATGAAGATTTCAGCATGGAACACAAGCAGCCAGCAGAGAGGAAGGAGCTGAATGACACGCTGGAGGCAATCAGGGTGAGGGTCAGGGTGGCACAGGGTGC